ATCATTCGGTCAGCTGTTAATCGATCCACTTTTTCCCAATGGATCCAGTGCATTTTGTTGGCTAGTTCTATATTGACAGGTAAGAGTCTACTGTCGATATATGCAAGATCTATCTACCTATAACTTAATTTACAGTAGTAACTTTACTCTATCGGAGTATTAACAATCTATTCCTGAACCCCGCAAAACTACAACCAAAGTTGCATCCTGCCACGGCTAAACTTGTCTGAAACTTTATTTGATTTTTCACCAAATCGTCAGTTAAGCCATTGTAATTATCAAATTTTGCTGATAATTATTGGTGAAAGTTTCTTTTCTGTATTGTTTTGCTGCTGTTGTAGAGTGTTTTTTATGATGTTACGTTGCACCGGTTCTTTTGGAGAACTGCTTGCCTTTCTCTTTTTTGCATTCCTGACCCGAATCCATTCAGTTTCCTTGCTTAGTTCTTCTTCGCCTGTGCAGTATTCATCTTCCATTTCTTCAATGTTTGTGTTTGATAATTTACCCTCTAATACTGTATATTTGACCATTAGTTCATCGTACAACTTCTGCATAGCATTTAATTGGGATTGAAGTTGTTCAACTTTATCATTGTCTTCAGTTTTCTCATTGTTAGACACTAATTCTTGGGTAATCCCCATTATAATGGGTTTATTTGGAGTGTGCAATATTGCATTGCTATACAATTATTTTCTATTTTGATTTTGTTTAGTCACAGATAACCGACTACACGCACGTCGATAGAGCACCACTCGCACATTTATTCATGAAATTTTCGAAATTTTCAGTCTGATAACTCTAATACAAAGATTAATATAAAGACTCCCCAGTGAGGAAAAAGTTGCATTCACTCTCTTTGCAGATGACGATAACTTGAACCCCATTGCAATGTTGAATGCTTCAAAGGATCTGCTTCGGTATCTCGGTCTAGGTGACTATGCGGAACTGATCAAACAAGCAATTAAGAAGACTTTGTCGGTCGATAAGGTGCAAACACACGATCTGGGAGGCTCCAATACTAGTGACGAAGTTGTGGAAGCCATCAAAAGTAACATCAGCGATTTGTTGAAGTCGGCGCACGTTAAACTGTTCTAGTTGGCAATTTTTTCACGATATTAAATGATTTCAGTCAAAAATATATTGTAGCGGCCATAGGAACAGTTGCACTATTTAATAAAATTCCCCATATCTAGGAGAAACTTAGCAAAAAAATGCTTTATGTTGATGGAAGCTTTCTGCTTTTATGCCAGATGTTTCATAAGTTCAACTCAATGTCTAATGAAAAAATCATGGGTTTATTACTGTGGAAAATAGGGCTGCTGTGGACGAAGAAATGGGTAACATAACTGGCAGCGTCGCCTAAAGTGATATAATGGTTTTTTTATAATATATTTTAGCGGCAATTTTATGTGTCCAGGCACTGTTAGTACTGAAAATATGCTTTCAATGTCTCAGTTTCCCTAATTTTGGGGTATTTTGCCTCAAAATGTTTGCCGTTTTTTTAAAGACAGACTTTCCTCACCTTTCCTATTACAGATTGAAAAAGTGTGTTCTTATTTCACAATAAAGAGCGATTTATTCATCAAAAGGTAATCAATCGCTTAATCTTAACCAAACCATGTTTTTATTCCCCTTGACTATAAATTGAAAATACATCAGCGATTTTTTAATGAATATTTATTTACAACATTTGTGTTACATTTTTCCATAAATATTTTACTGAAAAAATATGATAAATGCGACCTCATCACCATTCCAAAATTTTGCTGATAAAAATTACTATTTTATTGGAAGCAAGTTGAAAAGAATAAATAGTTCTTTGAGATTGTAATTTTGCTAATTTTTGTTTGATTATACTTTTATTATATTTATAATTTTAGTGGAAACTGATAATTCACAGACTTTATAGCAACTAGTTGAGTCTGAAAAATCCTTATCTTTGCAGGCTTAGAGAATTTTGGAGCAAAAATAAACGTTTTCAGGCAACTGCACCGTCCGTTTCAATTTTTTTTATTTTTCATGTAGAGCAAGGGGAAATTATTAGACTCTATAGAGAATACTTAAATCTAAAGCTGAAATTTGATTCAAATCGCATAAAACCCTCATTTTACAGGTTTAATAAATTTAATTATAAGGCCAGAAATTAAATAAAATAAGGCCAGAAATAAACGTTTTCACACAACTGCACCGTCCGCTCCAAAAAATCATAACTTATCTAGAGGAAGTAGAAACTTGAAATTCACAGACTCTATGAGAGACGGTTGACTTTTATTATTTTGAAAATCTTATTAACATTGTGTAAAACCTTCATCTTTTCAGCCTTCGTAAATTTTGAGCCAAAAATAAGTGTTTTCACACAACTGCGCCTTCCGTTTCAAAAAATCATAACTCTTCGTCTAGAGCAAATGGAACCTTGCAATTCACCAACTCTATAGAGAATATTTGAGTCTCAAAACTACGAAAATTTCATTCAAATTGCACAAAACCCTCATTTTTCAGGATTAACGAAAATCGAACCCAAAAAAAAATTTTTCATACAACTTCACCGTCCGCATTGAAAAATCATAACTTCTTATCTAGAGCAAGTAGAAACTTATAATTCACGTGCTCTATAAAATACAGTTGTCTTTGATTATTTCGAAAATCTTATTAGCATTGTGTTAAAATTTTATCCTTACAGGCTTCGTAAATTTTAGGTCAAAACTAAGCGTTTTCATTCAACTGCACCGCCCGCTTCAAAAAATCATAACTCTTCATCTAGTGCAAGTGGAAACTTACAATTCACCCACTCTATAGAGAATATATTTAAGTCTCAAAACTAGAAACATTTTGTTCAAAGCGCACAAAACCCTATTTTTTTCAGGTTTAATGAATATTGAAGCAAACATTTTTTCCATACAATTGCACCGTCCGCTTTGAAAAATCATAACTTGTTATCTAGAGCAACTCGGAACTTGTAATTCACAGTCTTTATAGCGAACACGAGAATCTGAAAACTATCGGATTTTCGATCAAATTGGAAAAAGCCCTAATTTTTGCCGGCTAAGTAAATATTGGACCAAAAATAAACGTTTTCAAACAACTACAGCGCCCGCTTCAAAAAATCATAACTTTTCATCTAGATCAAGTACAAACTTGCAATCTACAGACTGGGTAGATAATACTCTAAGCTCCAAACTTCGGAAGTTTCATTCAAATCACACAAAAGTCTAATTTTTTCAGGCTCAGTGAATAATGCGCCAAAAAAACATTTTTCACTCAACTGCACCGTCTGCTTCGAAACATGATAACTTCTCATCTATACCAAATGGAAACTTGCAATTCACAGATTCTGTAGACAACACTTCGGACAACTCCGAAAATTCCGTTCAAATCGCACAAAACCCCTCATTTTTGCAGGTTTAATAGATAAGTTAAAGGAAGTAGTTGAACAAGTTGAAGTAGAAAAATTTACGGGTAAAACTCTGTCTTTTACCTTTTTTACCTGAAGAACTTTAAAGTAAAATTTTATGTGCAACGGTGAAACACATAAGCGAAACTATTATGGTTTGGGCGGTGTATTTCCTCATTTAAAATTAAGTCTAATTTGTCTTCAATGAAATGGATTGGTAGACGAGGCCCAAGGTTCTTAAAGTATATACTTTAGGAACTTTGGACGAGGCCTAATTGAGTGGCCACCATAGAGAAAATAAAATAATTATTATTTTACTTACTCTATGGTGGCCACCAAGATCGCCAGACCGAACGCCACTTGATTTTCCAAGAATATTCAAGCATGCTAGAACCCAGGGAAACGTTTAGATGATGTCATGAATTGGAAGACCCGCTATATTGTTGTCTGGCAAACAAGGAAAACCTCTTTAAACCAATCATTCACTAAAAGTAAAATTAAAATTTTAAAACCGTTTTTTATTTAAAGTCGGTACTTTATGCAATCTAACGTTATATGGGGTAGCTAGGGGCTAGAGGCTTCCCTTACTCATGTAGGAACGATTCCGTGGAATTTTGTAAATTTTTTCGCGTTTCTACAATGAATCACTTAAAAAAATCTTAACAAAAATTGTATTGAACGCTCTTAGAGAAAGAGCGGTATACGTCCCCACACCCCCAACTCAATTTTCTATAGCTCAGACTTTAGCCTCTAGGTGGCCTGGACCACACAGATCCTGTGCACAGATCAAAGAGACGCTGAACTTAAAAACATAAAAGTGAGGTTAAATTTGAGCTGAAACTTGCCAAAAAACCGCCCAACTTTGCTGTTTTCCTACGATTCCCACTGGCCAAGTAAATATCGAATCGTTTTCGTTGCTTGAATTAGAATGGCAGACTTTTCGGAGCTGCTACAAGCAGCTGAAAGGCTCACAACCGACTTGGAGGGCACTTCTGATCTGCCCAAAGTCAACAGATCTCTGAAGCAAGTTTTGGAGGCCTCCAATGATCTCTATTCACGTGTAGCTCAGACTGCAGGCTCGAAGGATATTCAAGCGTAAGTTCATGGGGGGCTATTCAGGAATTCTGAGCTACTTTGGGGATTTGAATAATCGCTGTCTTATCTGGTTTCAATAAGCTTGGAACCAAGCAGAGCCAGTGATTTTTTGCTTATAAAACCTTCTAATAGTTCTCCAAGATCATGGGTGATCTTTCAAGCAGTGCCTTTAAGCCAAAAGCATCTAAGAAAATGTCTTTTCCTTAAATATTATCAAGTGTTATTCCATAAATATCATTATCTTGTTATATTGAAGAAAGTTGCCAATTTTTCAGCTCTAAATGCAATTAGTGCATCCGTTACAAAGCTGCAAGAGAGATTAATAAACGTCGGATTTTCGTCTAAATTAGGCAAATTGCTGGTGTTTTTTCCTCAAGTGCAGATATTTTCTGTATACGTTCGACTGGTCCTTTTTTAAGTCAAAGATCGTTTAAAGTTACCTCATCTATGGAGGTTTTGATACATAGTTTATGAAGAGTTTGGATTATAGAGTATGTTTATTGGTTTATAGTTTAGTTCTCTATTAAAGAATGTCACTTAAAGAATTCCGGGTGAAAAGCGTCCTTAAAAGCAGCCTAGAAAATGCACGGGTTTCGAGTAAAATCATCGCATATTTTCACATTGTGTGGCGGAATTTATTAATATATGAAAAAAGAGGAATTTCCATCGTTTATTTGACTATTTTTTGGCTCAAAACATTATTTCTTCTAACTGTCCCCTATGAAAAACTGTGGAATTTTGTAAATTAGGAACCTCTTATTGGGGTCCAAAGGCATAGACTTGCCCAAAATCGTGCAAAAACTCGAGTCAATCAGCACCAAACGCACTTTCGAGCCAATAGAACCAGTGGACGATTTAGACATTGCCAACATCCTGCAGAATGAGATTCGCAACAAGATTCTCGAAGCTTTTGATTCTGGTTACAACGAGGTTAGATTTGAAAAATTATCTACCATCCCAAGCTTTGAATTGCATACTTTTTCAGATGCTGAAATCCACATTTGAGAACGCCTGGGAGCATCAGCAGGCCGAATGGAAGCAGGAAAAAATGAAGATTCTCAATGCCCTGGGCGGCAGATCGGGCCTACCGATCGAAATCGGCAAAGATCAGTCGATTCTCATCGAAAAACCGGCCCCACCTTTATCACACTTGGGTCCCAATGAGATGATCTACGCTTCGAAGATTATCCAGTATAATAACGATTCGGTCAGAGGATTGTTTTCTAGGCCCAGTTTAGTCAACGTATTTTGCGATATTGCAAGCGAATTCAAGGATGGAGTAAGTGCATTTTTGTCACACACTTCTGAGCAACAAACGCCTTTAATCGAACAATTTTTAAGTCAACAGTCAGTCAGTCCATATTATCATTTAAAAAAGCCGAATATCGGAATCGGGGTTTCAGCTTCTTGTAAAGAACGCGCCACTTTACGCGGATGTAAATTTTTTGCATCGCAGCAAATTGTTTTTATAACGAATTATTTAAGTTTGGGATATTTTTGTACTATCAGGGAGATCTCGTTGTGTATGATGCGAGTTTGGTTCCATTAGAGTAAATGGTTTCTTCGTAATGAATTTTTGAACTTTGGAAACTTGTACGTGGAAGTTTTATTTTTTGTGACATGCTCTTCTGAAGCCGGTTTCTCAAAAACCGGTTGAAACATTGGGATGACTATTTTTGCTCTGGATAAAGAGAGCTTTACTTTGCGTGGGATGCAAATTTGCTTCTTTTGGTGTAAATAGTTTCTTCGTAACGAATTTTTAAACTTTGGAAGCTTTTGGTCCAGGTGTTGAAATTTTGCGCCTTGCTCTTTTGTAGTCGATTTCTGAACAACTTATAGAGAGAGCTGAATAAGGGTTTCAGCCCTGAATAACCAAAGCTGCACTTTGTGGGCGATTTTGGTTCTATTCAAATCAATGGATCCTTCATAACAAATGTTTCAACTTTGGAAAGTTTTGCCGCGGGTGTTCAATTTTTGTGCCATTCTCTTCCATAGCCAATTTCTAAAAAATCAGTTAAGATAGCGGGAGAAGACTTTCAGCTCTGTGTAAGAAAAGCCTTGCTTCGCGAGTTATGTGAATTTGGTTCTTATCGAATCAATGGTTCCTTCATAATGAATTTTTGACCTTTGAAACTTTTGTCGCGGGTATTTAGCTTTTGCGCCTTGCTCTTCTGAAATCGATTTCAGCTCTGAATAAAGAGAGCTTCTCTTTGCGTCTGATGACAATGTGGTTCTATTGGAATAAATGGTTCCTTCTTGACGAATTTTTAATCTTTGGAAGCTTTTGGCGCAGGTGTTAAAATTTTGCGCCTTGCTCTTCTGAAGTGGATTTCTGAACAACTAGTTGAGATAGCGGAATAAGGGTTTCAGCTCTGAATAGCCAAGGCTTCACTTTGTGTGCGTGGCGATTTTGGTTCTTTTCAAATCAATGGATCCTTTATAACGAATGTTTAAACTTTGGAAAGTTTTGCCGCGGGTGTTCAATTTTTGCGCCATTCTCTTCCATAGCCAATTTCTAATAAATCAGTTAAGATAGCGGAAGAAGATTTTCAGCTCTGTGTAAGGAAAGCCTTGCTTCGCGAGTTATGTGAATTTGGTTCTTATCGAATCAATGGTTCCTTCATAATGAATTTTTGACCTTTGAAACTTTTGTCGCGGGTGTTTAGCTTTTGCGCCTTGCTCTTCTGAAATCGACTTCTGAACAACCAGTTAAGACAGCGGAATAAGGATTTTAGCTCTGAATAAAGAGAGCTTCTCTTTACGTCTGATGCCAATGTCGTTCTATTGGAATACATGGTTCCTTCCTAACGAATTTTTAATTTTTGGAAGCTTTTGGCGCAGGTGTTGAATTTTTGCGCCTTGCACTTCTGAAGTGGATTTCTGAACAACTAGTTGAGATAGCGGAATAAGGGTTTCAGCTCTGAATAACCAAAGCTTCACTTTGCGTCTGATGCCAATTTGGTTCTATTGGAATAAATGGTTCCTTCTTGACGAATTTTTAATCTTTGGAAGCTTTTGGCGCAAGTGTTAAAATTTTGCGCCTTGCTCTTCTGAAGTGAATTTCTGAACAACTAGTTGATATACCGGAATAAGGGTTTCAGCTCTGAATAACCAAAGCTTCACTTTACATGTTGGGAAAATTTGCTTGCATTGGCCCCAATGGTTCCCTCTCAATAAATTTAAATTTCTTTGTTGGTGTAACGTTAAAAGTTGAATTTTAGAAGGTGAAAGATATGTGGGAAATCATCAAGTACATGGTCCAGTGCTCATCAATCCCGCAATCGGAAGATCCGATAAAGACCCGAAACACCAAGCCGGTGATTCTGAGCTTAGTGCGTCAAGGCCAGAAATACCTAGAGGACAGGTGGGGTTGAAAAATGTTTTAAAATCTAGTAAATTATGCTTTGGTTTTAAGGTACAAGACGTTCATGAATAGCATAATTACGGAAAATCTCACGCACGCCGGAAGAGGCGGAATCCCAGGCACGTACCCATTGGTAAAGAGCTTCGTGGGGCTCAGATTGCAGGGGGAATATTTGGGCTTAAAGGACGGGATGATTGATGATCGGCCTCTTTGGCCTATGGTAGGAACATCAGGCTTAGCAAAAACAGGTTTTTGAAATTGTTTCATTGCGTTTAAGGTGTATTACTGCTTGAGATCGGGCGATCTCCCAGCTGCAATCCACTGCCTGAAGAAAAGCGGCCTAACCGAGTACAACGAGATAATTTCCTTACTGGAGGCAAAGCTGGGCAACCCAAATAACCCCAATATTCCCAAGCTGGAGGACAGTATTAGGTAGAAAACCTGCCAAAAGACCCACGAGTTTTTTCGCTGATATCAATGTATGTGTAGGTTTTCCTATAGAAGATTCGTTCGGAACGAAACCGATCCTTTCAAGAGGATCACATGGTCGGTTTTGGGCTGTTGCGATATTTCTGATGAACATTCAGAAGTCGCCCGAACTGCCGACGATTATCTTTGGCTGAAACTCAGCCTGGTGCGAGCAGATAGTTCTAAGGAAGACTCCATCAAGTACAGTGATCTTCAGGTAGGTAGGGTTCACTACAAATTAAAGTAGGTTTTACCCAACTTTTTGCAGCAAGTTATCTTGGAGGAGTATGGAGAGTCGCATTACGATGCCTTCAATCAGCCCCATTTGTACTTTCAAGTGCTGGCGCTCACTGGCCAGTTTGAGGCAGCAATTGAGTTCCTAGCCAGAATCGAGAGGTTCAAGGTGCATGCTGTTCATATGGCGATTGCTCTGAACGAGCTGTATTTACTGGCTGGGCCTCATGACACTAGTGCACCTCTTCGTAAGTTGCCTATCTTCAAACTGAGCTAAATGCATTCAACTTGATTTGCTGGTAGTTTTCATCGACCCCGCGGACCCAAAGCCGGCCAGACGATTAAATCTGGCGCGCTTGATAATGATTTATGTGCGATCTTTCGAGTTTCACTGCCCCAATGAAGCACTCCACTATCTGTATCACCTGAAGAACTATACAGATTCCGAAGGTAAACCTGCGGAAGAGTTCAGAGTAGATTGAGAAGTTTTTGAGTGTTTTAGGTCAAAGTCTTTTTAAGGTTTGCGCTGTGGATTTGGCGCTGGAAACGAAGGAATACGCACAACTACTAGGAACAGTTGATGGGAACGGGATCAGGAACAAAGGCTTGATTGATCAGTTTATTGATACGCATGTCACTGCAGTGAGTGTGGCCGAAACCATTGCGGCTAATCTAGTGAACAAGGGCCTGTACGAAGACGCAATTGCGCTGTTTGATATAGCCAATGTAAGCTCATTAAGCCAAACAACTGGCAGCAGCTGAAAAGTGTCTGTTTTCAGAACCAAGAGGGAATTTTGACGTATTTATGCACCATGTTGTCCCAAGTGGTTCAGCTGGAGGGCGACCCCAACTCTTTGAGAACCAGATTGAAGAACCAGGCCTTTTACTATGCTGAGCGCATTTCCAGAGAAGGCTTCAAGTCGGAGCGCTCGGATTTGAAGTTTTCCTTTTTCACCCTCAACAGACTGATTACGTTCTTCGATCTGTACTATGAAAAAGAGTTCCCACAGGCCTTAAAGGTAAATGGAAATCCCGATGAAACTGTTTTGCAACGGTAGCGAAAATTACAGGTTTTAAATGACATAAAACTGGTGCCGTTCAGAGAGGAAGAGCTCAAAGACCGCGTGTTCGATGTTACCCACAATTTAACTTCGAATGTTGCCAAAGTTATTCCGGATGTGCTCCTGACGACGATGAACATGCTGTTTGCTCAGTATCAAAAAATTAAGTCTAATGTTGAGTTCATTCCGCGGTTCCAAGAAGGGCCTTTGGAAGCAGTAAGTGAAACTATGGAAAAAATGAATATCCCTTAAAACTCGTTTATTCTCCCAGCAAATGTCTTATTTGAGGCAACAGGCCAAGACTATCACGAATTTCGCTGGGATGCTTCCATATAGAATGCCAGGCGACACAAACAGCAGACTGGTGCAGATGGAAATTCTGATGCATTAATTAGATGTTTTTTATTACTGAATAAACGCCGTTTCTTGATTCAGGCTGTATTTTGTTACCAGAATGTCTTTGGAAAAATCCACTCCTTTTCCTTCTTTTACCTAAAAATTAACTTTTAGTTTTTCTGGGAATTTACTGGGTTGTTCGGAAAGTAATTTGATTTTTCCGCGTTAGAGGATTTATTGAATGTTCTTGCATCCAGTTTCACCCTGAAGCCGCATCATTCTTTTGAGAGTTGGTATAGCAAGGCTTATGTATGAAAAACTCCTGATGATTCTACGCATTATCGGTTGGTACTGTTTTACAGATGGGAAGCGAAAAAAACAGCATTTTTGCCATATTTTACATTCTTACTAGGGAGAAGAGAACCGATGTGTATGGAGATGAGCTTTGGCTGCGTGTGATGTGAACATGGTTCTAGTCCAAGAAACGGTTTCTTTATAATGGATTTGTAAACGTTGGAAGGTTTTGATGCGTTTTTTTTCTTTTTGTTCGTCATGTCCTTCTGAAGCCGGTTTATGCGCAACCAGTTGAGATAGCGGAATACGGGCTTCATCTCTGGATAAAGAAGGTATCAGTTAATATGTGATGCAAATTTGGTTTTAGTCAAATCAATGGTTCTTTCATAATGAATTTTTAAACTTTGGACAATTTTGGGGCGGTTGTTTAGTGTTTGCGCCTTGCTTTTCCGAAGCCGATTTCTGAACAATCATTTGAGAATGCGGAATAACGGTTTCAGCTCTGGCTAAAGAAGACTTCACTTGATGTGTGATGCAAATTTGGTTCTAATTGAATCAATGGTTCTGTCGCAATGAATTTTGAAACTTTCGAGTTTTGGCGCAGGTCTTTAATTTTTGCAAATTGCATTTACGAAGCAGATTTGTGAACAACCAGTTGAGATAGCGAATTACGAGTTTCAGCTCTGGATAAAGAAGGTATCAGTTAATATGTGGTACAAATTTGGTTTTAGTCAAATCAATGGTTCCTTCATAATGAATTTTTAAACTTTGGACAATTTTGGCGCGGTTGTTTAGTGTTTGCGCCTTGCTTGTCCGAAGCCGATTTCTAAACAAGCAGTTGAGATCGCGGAATAAGGGTTTCAGTACTGGATAAAAAAGACTTGACTTGATGCGTGGTGCAAATTTGGTTCTYATTGAATCAATGGTTCTGTCGTAACGAATTTTTAAACTTTCGAGTTTTGGCGCGGGTCTTTCATTTTTGCRCCTTGCAYTTACGAAGCAKMTTTGTGAACAACCAGTTGAGATAGCRAATTAMGAGTTTCAGCTCTGGATAAAGAAGATATCAGTTAATATGTGAWGCAAATTTGGTTCTGTTCGAATSAACGGTTCTCTCATAATKAATTTTTAAACTTTGTAAAGTTTYGRCGCGGGTCTTTAAYTTTTGCGCCTYGCACTTCCGAAGCCGATTTGTGAACATCCAGTTGGRATAKCGAATYACGAGTTTCYGCCYKCGATAAAGAAGGCATCAGYTTATATGTGGTTCAAATTTGGTTCGATTCGAATCGACAGTTCCTTCATAATTAATTTTTAAACTTTGGAAAGTTTTGGCGTAGTTGTTTAATTTTTGCGCCTTGCTTTTGATCAGAAAGAGAGAGTTTCACTTTGGTGTGGAGGTAACAAATCACTTAGAGTATTTTTGTCTTGGGAAAGAATGACTATTTAATAGTCTATTTATTTCTTATTTGAAATGTATGTTTTATTTGCACGAAAAACCGAAATTACTTTCAGAACAACCCAATAATTATTTTTGCCAAAGTCGCTTTCTAGAACTGTCTGGAAGACTTCTCCATTGTTTTTTCTAGGCATTGCATGGGCAAAGCAATCGGTGGTAAATTCTATTGCTGAACATTGCTGGTTCTGAGCATTATTTTAAACTACTTACAATTTTGTAGTCCAAAAACATGCGCTTGAAATTGGCAAAGTCCCAAAACGTGGACAACATCTCGTAAATTTCCCCATCCAGCACCTCGGGGTGTTTTCTAAACATCAAAGTCTGCATAAAAATTTCCAGACCTCATCAAATCACTCACTCCAGCTCCATTTCAAAGCCCCGAATATCAAACCCCGGTATACTGCATGTGAGCTGTTCTTCAATGTATTTTTCGACCGTGGCCTGGTAGCTGTTGAAGATTTCTGTGTAGACCAGCCGGTTTTCTTCAACTTCGCTAAATTCTCTATAATGCTGCTCCAAGAAGCCGCTCTGTAGCTGAGCAAACGTTTCGCTGATGATGATGCTTTCAATGCATCCGATGATTTCCGCAAACGATTTTTCGGCGGTTTCCAAACAGTAATGGGAAATATCGAGCTCGTTTTGCTCAATGCCGTTGCCCAGTTGACCTAAAACTCATCTGTTAAAACTGGAATTTTCTTCAGTTGAATGCGCTAACAGTTACAATCCACTTCAGTCATTTTGTCGACAATTCACGCAATAATTTGGGTAAGTGCAAGTCAATACATTAAGTTGCGATGGGAACCGTAAATCTAACACCAGGGCTGCGTTCAGAAGAACGTAACTTTCCAACTCTAACAAGAAACCCTAATAATCGTGTTTTCTGCTTTGGTGAAGATTCTCGCTGATTTGGAATGTTCGCAATGGTTTTCTTCTCTGAAGACTTTCAACGCTGAGGCTAAAGTGGAGCACACCATGGCATGTTAGTTTCGGTAAAAATATTGATTCAAGCGCGTTTAACCCACATTCACGGCAATATCGATTCCAAGATATCGTGAGAAATATCCATTAAAGCGCCAATTTCGTTGTTCAGTGAGTTGAACAATCTGAGGAATCAATGGACTTTGAATCAGTTTTCCTCAGTTGCTCCTTATCCAAACAACCGTACAAGCCAGCTTGCTTTCCAGTTAAATCAATGCGGAACTATTAGACGATTTGGCAAAAAAATGGTGCGAAAACGTTTCAAGTTTAACTGTGGAAGAGTGTTAATTCCCCGACATTGTTCTTCCAAGTTTTGCGCCCCCCGATACGCCACTGGACAACTGGCTAGTTCCACCTTAGGTAAGATGCTCATTTTGTTTTAACTAATTTACTTCCTTTTTGATGGAAAAACTCTTCACTCGCTGGTACATACTGAGGAAAGATTATCCTCAATATCGAATAAGTTTCTTCTTTGTTCCGTTAACTTTTAGGGTACTTTGGAGGGCTTGAAAAAGTGCCAGCCGCATTACAGGGGCGCCAAGACGACTGGCGGCTGACCTACTAAAACCGCCCCAGTCTAAGGAACTGATTTCTCCGGCAAATAATTCTTGTAAAAACTGCAGTTCAGATATAAGAATGCGGGTTTCAGCCTTCGGTAAAGGAAACCTGAGTTAACAAGTTTTAAAAATTTGGTGCCGTTCCAACAAACAGTTCTTTTATAATGTATTTTCAAACTGTCGGAAGTTTTTTGAGGGTTTTTCGTTTATACATGATGCTGTTCTGAAGCAGGTTTTCAAACTGCTGATCGCGATATCGAACTAAAAGTTGCAAATAGCGATAAATAATACTTCAGTTGTTAAGTGATGCAAATTTGGTTCCAGTCCAACCAATGGTTCCTGACTAATACATTTTAAACTTTCAAAAAATTATCGGCGGTTTTTCGGTTATACATGATGCTGCTTTGAAGGAGGTTTTAGAACTGCTGATCGCGATATCGAAATAAAAGTTCCAAATATCAATACATAATACTTCAGTTGTTAAGTGGAACAAATTGCTTTCCATTCCCACAAATAGTTCGTTTGTAATACATTTTCAAACTTTCAAAAAAATTTCCGCGGTTTTTCGTTTATACATTATGCTGCTTTGAAGGAGGTTTTAGAACTGCTGATCGCGATATCGAAACAAAAGTTAGAAATATCAATACATAATACTTCAGTTGTTAAGTGGAACAAATTTCTTTCCATTCCAACAAATGGTTCCTTTCTAATACATTTTCAAACTTTCAAAAAATTTTCGGCGGTTTTTCGTTTATACATGATGCTGCTTGAAGGAGGTTTTAGAACTGCTGATCGCGATATCGAAATAAAAGTTTCAAATATCAATAGATAATACTTGAGTTGTTAAGTGGAACAAATTGCTTTCCATTCCAACAAATGGTTCCTTTCTAATACATTTTCAAACTTTCAAAAAATTTTCGGCGGTTTTTCGTTTATACATGATGGTGCTTTGAAGGCGGTTTTAGAACTGCTGATCGCGATATCGAAATAAAAGTTAGAAATATCAATACATAATACTTCAGTTGTTAAGTAGAACAAATTGCTTTCCATTCCCACAAATGGTTCCTTTCTAATACATTTTCAAACTTTCAAAACAATTTTCGGCGGTTTTTCGTTTATACATGATGCTGTTGTGAAGCAGGTTTTAGAACTGCTGATCGCGACACCCAATAACAAGCCTACAGATGGCAATGCAGAAGACTTGAGGTGATAAGTAGTGCAAATTTGGTTCCATTCCAACAAATGGTTTCTTCATAATATATTTTGA